AATAGTGCAAATGCAATAGATGTGACTTCAGTTGAATTATTTAACAGAGTAGTTGAGGCACATTTACCTCCTAACCTGTGCATGGTAATAAAACAGTATGTTGAAATGGGTAAGAGAAAACCTCAGGGCTACCGTTATTCAAGTCAAATAAAGCAGTTGGCATTAACTATATATTTTTTTGGTCCACGTGTGTACACATTTTTAAAATCATTATTACAATTGCCAAGCCCGAGAACATTACGCCGAGTCACAGAGAGGATTAATATAGTGCCTGGATTAAATGACATCATATTCGAAACTATGGAATTGAAGATAAGTAATTTAAAAGATGATGCAAAGGATTGTGTATTATGCGTTGACGAGATGTCAATCAAATCGCATTTATTTTATAATCTTTCTCAAGATTACATTGTAGGATTTAATAATTCATATGACAGAAAAACATACGAACCAGCAAAGCACGTACTCTGTTTTATGTTGAGAAGCATAAATTATGATTGGAAGCAACCAATTGCATATTTTTTTATTAATAATAGCTGTACAGGAATTCATCTTCAAAATACCATATTTGCCGTAATCAGTCGTATCCAAAAAACCTCACTTAAAATTAAAGTATTTACAAGCGACCAAGGCTCAAATTTTACTAGTTTTTCTAAAACAATGAATGTGTCATGTGTACGACCATTCTTCTTTGTTAATGGGCAAAAAATATTTTATGTATTTGATGTGCCACATTTACTAAAGTCAACAAGAAATAATTTTTTCAAGTATCGTTTAACTTTTTTAAATGGTACGACAGAGAAAAAATTTCTTGTTGACTTGTATAAATCGGACCAAGGCATAAATAGGCTTGCGCCCAAATTAACTGAAACACACATCAATCCGGGACCATTTCAAAAAATGAAGGTGAAATATGCAGCCCAAGTTTTCAGCAACACAGTTGCAGCAGCAATGCAATGCTGTGTTCAAGGTGGTTCATTGCCTTTATCTGCTGAAACTACCATAACATTTATTGAGCATATGGACAAATTGTTTGACTTATTGAATTCAAAAAAGAAATCAGGTAGTAAAGATTTTAATCGACCATTTAAGAACACGGCTAAACAGAGAGAACATTTACTCCATATGCTTGAAGTATTTAAAAACATGAGAGTTCTGGATACAAAGAAAGTCAATGGAGAAACTGTAATAATTGATGTTACAAAGCGAATTAAATTTTTGAATGGTTGGACGATAACAATTAATTCGTTATTAATGCTGTGGGATGACATAACCAAAACACCAAATTTTGTGTTATGCACTTATAGATTTAATCAGGATATTCTTGAAAATCTGTTTGGAATATTTCGAAATCAAAATGGCAATAATGTGAATCCCACTCCAATACAGTTTCTGTGGGCTTTTAAAAAAATATTTTTTGTCAATTATTTCAAACACTCCGAAGGATCAAATTGCTTAGAAGATCTTAGTGAAATTTTAACTACTCTTGGGCATATTTCACCACCGTTGAACAATTCATGTGTGCTATTTCCAGATAGATCTCCTTTTAATTTTTGTAATTTAAAAATAGGTACCACTGATTACAGAGAGTTAAACTTTCCTGCCCAAAATGCCCTTACGTATGTATGTGGCTACTTGATAAAAAAATGTATAGATAAACATAGCTGTGATATATGCCTAAATTATGCTAAGCACCAACAGCAATTGGACCAATCATTTTTGTTTACATATTTTAAATCCTATGAAACTGCCAACCATTCTAACTATGGGAATTTAAATGTTCCTCCAGATAATTTTTTTAATTATATTAATCAATTAGACGAAATTTTTATAATAAATTTCCCTATCTTGGCAGTTGAAGAAAATGTTGGCAGAAAACTAAAAAATTTAATTGACAATGTTCCATTTGAACATCCATGCAATAACTTTGACCTAGAATTTCTTAAAAGTCTATATATTCGCCTAAGGATATATTATTCAATAAATAAAATAAATAAAGATATGTCATCAACAGGTAGAAAGCATAGAAAGTTAGATATTCTTTCTCACCTATAAAATGTTATGTATTATAATTGTTATTATGTATTATTAGTATTATTTTTTATTCTCATGTAATGTACTAGTATTATTTTTTATTCTCATGTAATGTACTAGTATTGATTTTTTTGTTAATATATTTTGTTTATTGTGAATTATTTGCATTTATTATTTGTTATTCTGTATGACTTAATATATATTTCTATCACATAATACAACTTACTATTCCTATTTCCTACTAGTTAGCAATTCTCCAATTATTATATTAAAAAAAAAAAAAAATGATTGGAAGCTTTGTTATATTTTGTGTAGGAAGACTATAATTACAGGAATTGCAAACAGTTGTAGTTAAGTACACCAAAAATCAAGGTTGGGCAAGTTATTAATGTTAACTCAGTTAAGTTAATATGCACAAATAACAAAAAGTTAAAAGTTAATTTAACTATATGTTAACTCAGTTAATAAAAAGTTAATTTGTTTATACAACTCTAGCATTGTTATATTGTGTGAATGCGTACCAACCCAAAACTATATTATAGACTATAGTGTTTATACTTTATACAGGATTTCCATATAAGTTAGATTCCAATGATATCAAGGTAAATATTTTTTGCATGAAACGAAATAGACTGAAATAGTGAAATATAATTAAATTAAAAACAAAATAAATTAACTTAACTTACTTCTTAAAATAAAAATGAATTTCACATTAATTAAAAAAGAAATTTAGTAAGTTGACAGTTAAATCAATGAAAAGTCAAAAGTAACTAGTTAAGTTAAAAAGTTAAAATAAAATAAACTTTAACTTTTTAACTCGTTGATGCGCAGCGTAGCCAAAAAGTACCAAATAATACTAACTGCTTATTCAAAATTAAATTTGAATGTATCAAAATATTCTACTCTGTAATAAGAACATAGTTGCAATTAGGGGGGGGCTTTAGGAGTTAATCCCCCCCAAACATTTTGTTTTAAGGTTATTCAATATTATAAAAGTAAGGTTTTAGCCCCCCCAAGTTCCAAACGCTAGTAGCGCCTATGAATAAGAAATTAAAAATGCATGTTCATTAATAATTGGAAAACTTAAAAATGAATTAACAATAGAAATAGTAAATACAATACATTTATCGCTCAGATTCTAAAATATCATTTTGGAAATAATGATAATATAAGAATTTTTATTGTAAAAATGGGTTCCAATTTTTTTTTTCAGTGAAAATTGGTCAAACTGTTCGGTTGAACTGGCCCTACTGTATGCCGCCAGTGTCATGGCCGACTGACTCAAGCAATTGTCCTATGCTGCCTATGTAAAATGTTATCAGTGTCCATTCTGATTGTTATATTCTGTGCTGGAACTATAGCGACCGTCGTCGTTATCGATATATTTAGCCCGTATTGTTATCGACGTTATCGATATATTTTATGTATTGCATTGTTATTGAATGACACTCATTATTAATGTAAAAATAGAATACAAAATATTATCAATATTAATATCGAAAATCATAATAATTATTTTCAGAATGGATATAACACAAAAATATTAAATTATAATAAAATGTTTTTCAAACTTTTATATAGCGTTCCTACTTTTTATTTTTGCGGGGAGTCGCCGTCTCAAAGACTCCCCTAACGAGCCGCCACTGAATTTGAATTATTGTAATTAATGTATTGCAGATAAATTGTTTTCATTAACACAATGTTATTATCTGTATGATGCATTATAAATTTATTCTGCTGTATTATTATTGTAATAATTTTAACTTTTGTGTTGTACTGTTGTATTAGTTATTAATTAATACAACAGTACAACACAATAACACGACTATAAATAAAAATATTTCTTATCAATACCTTATCAATATTAAGACCAATCACAGGGCAGGACGTGAAAATAATAACTCCATAAATTTAATTTTGGCGCGTATTCTCGGATAATGTGGACAGAATGACGTAGTATACATGCGCAGAACGAAGTTGAGAACAAACCAGTGTATTAACTATTAAGTATTTAGCCATGGGATACGGAATGATCAATCATCAATGATCAATTTCATTTGATACTAATATTCACTACAAACTACAAAGGTTATATTTGACAAGATTCGTCTCTTTTAAGCGATCGCTGGGATGTAAGTTAAATCAAACAAAAGATTGGTACCGGATGTGAAACATTATTTATCTTTAGACCGTAAATCAATTTAATATAATATATGCTCTTCTCTTCTTATAAAACAGTCCATAATGTCCTTCGTTTATGCTGTTTACTACAAATATTTAGTAAAATTATGTTTTATAATTTTAATTGCTGAATACCTACATATTTTGAATTGTATCTTTAATTGTCTTTTATTTTTTATCTTATTTTCTATAATTATACCTTTTTATAACTTACATATTAATTATGTAAAATTATAATAACTACATTTTTCTTTTATAGGCCAAGTTGATTTAAACAGAGAGCAATATGAGTCAAAGTAAGACATCACAAGAGAGTGAAATTTACTTGTATAATTCTGAGTATTTAAAGAATAACTATGATAAATATATCAGAGATGATTTCTTATATGCATTTGGAGCATTTTATTGGTAAGATCTAATCTATTTGATTATAAATATTGATTTAACTTCAGTAAAATTTAATTTTAAAACAGTATATTACCGTTTTTTTGTTTCCATCAATAACTTTTTATATTACTGATATTTAATTTATATAATTTGTATTATTATTTTAAAAATTAATTTGTCAATTTCTATTAAGTATTAAAAGAGATATATAAATTTAAAAGTTCAGGCAGGAAACCGATAGAAAGGTATGCTACAAAAATGGGTAGGCATTGTATTGCACTAGGAAGAAGACAGAAAGATATTCTGTAAAATATATTATTGTTTGATTGTAATTCATCTATATTGTTGTTTCATATAATTTTAGTGATAAAGTAATGAAGATTCCTCAGTTAGACCGCATTTTGAAAACTGAATGTTATCATCGTGAAACAGAATTGAAATATAGACATAATGAGTTTGCCACATACATGGAAAATATAATATCATGGCTTGATCTTAAGTAAGTTATTTTGTTATATCTATTAATATATTTGAAAAAACATTGGATACAATTAATGCAAAGATTTATATCATATTATTTAGTACATTTTTGTATTAACATTGTTACTGTTAACACATTTTTTTTAATTATTAATAAAGTAAAGCTCTTCAATCTAAATCTTAAAATTAAAAATCATACCAAAAATAAATTTTATTTAAATGAGAATAACAATAAATAATAGTAAAATTTTAAATTGTTAGTATTATATTACAATTGGTACTAGTGGTTACTACACTTATCGCAGAGTTAGTAAGTGACTTAGTTTGCTTCTTAGATCTAGATTTTTATTCCTACCTAATATTTTACAATGGTTTTTGAAAATTACTTAATTATTTGTATGATTTTAAGGTTAAAATACTGCAATGGGGAACCATCAGAATCTAATAAAAAAATACAAGAACAGTTATTCAAGACAAGTGATATTCAACAACATGGTACAAAAATGAGTTTAAGTTGCACAGCTCTTGATTCAAATACAAGTTCTCATGAACAAAATAATAAATCAAGAACTGAAGCTTATTCTCAAAATGAAATAATAACATCACCGGATATAACTATAAAAAATGATGATTTTCCTGGGAGTTCAATTAATGATGACAATATTGAAATTTTCATGGTATTTAATATTACAATAACTGAATAATTGATAACTTGTTAGTTATTATTTAACTATATTCTAAATGTTTAGCAAAATACTCAAAACAAATTAATAATGACAGAAATAACTTCTCCAAAACATAATTCTGTTGGAAGTTCAACTAATAATAATAACAAGAAAGGAATTGATAAGGTATTAAATTATGGTTAAAGATTAAGATTAAATATATAAGCTTATAGCTTAAAACATATTAAATCTTACAGAACAGTAAATTATGTTAAATTTTTCAGGTTAATAATACTCAAAATATAATTAAAACATCTCCAAATGTAACTTCTCCAGAACATGATACTCTTGGAAATTCAACTACTGATCACAAAAAGAGAATTGATGTGGTATTAATTATGATTACATCATAGCTTATTAAATATTTACTGAACAGTAAATCACTAAATTATATTAAACATTTTAGGTAAATAATACTCAAAATAAAATAATAACATCGCCAGGCATAACTTCTCTAAAACATGTTACTCTTGGAAATTCAACTAATGATCACAAGAAAGGAATTGATATGGTATTAATTATGGTGACATTATAGTTTATTAAATATTTACTTAACAGTTAATTATATTGAATATTTCAGGTAAATAATACTCATAACAAAGTAATTACATCACCAGATGTAACTTCTCCAAAATGTGATACTCTTGGAATTTCAACTAATAATCACAAGAAAGGAATTGATATGGTATTAATTATGATAACATTATAGCTTATTAAATATTTTTAAAACAGTAAATCATATCGAATATATTTCAGTTAAATAATACTCTACCTAAGTTGAATAAACACATGTGAATTCTCCAAAACATGATATTCACGGAATTTATTAGATTAGATTACTAAACAGAAATTTCTATGCTACTTTGCTACATTTGTTTTTCCTTTTTTCATGCATATACAATTTTTTTGTGCATATTTGTCATTTTTTAACTCTTTTAACCTCCGTAACTTACATATTACTAATCTATATATATTTAAAATGTTTAGGAAAATAATCAAAGTAAATTAATAGCTTCTCCAAAAGATAATTCTGCTGTAAGTATACTAATGATCACAAGAAAAGAATTGATGATATGTTTAAATGAGATAAAATTTATAATTTATGTTATGGATATTGTGTAATGTTCTAGATCAATACAAATTTGGTGAATATTTCTTCAGCTGTTGATTCAATATCAACTGAGTCTCAATTTAAAAATCTTGACATTACTGATGATGAGAATGAAAGCACATCAGACAACCTTAAAAACAATACAAATGACAAAGTTGTGAATAAGGTATGCTATATATTCCATTCACATTAAGTAAGTAAGAATCTTGGTGGACAGTTTTTATCAGGCTACGGTCAGGTAATACTCAGTCAAACATTTGTAAAACTACACCTGTCGTTTGGTTAAGCAACACGCTTGTGCACAATTTGGTTGCCAAGGTTCATTCTTAAGAGGAAGTTGTACCCGCACATGTTGTTGTTTTACATACTTGTAACAAGCAAATATTGGTACTAAATTCTTACTATAGATTATTTATAATTAATATTAGAGCTAATTTGTAGAAAGGTATAAACTATGGTTGATTTATAATTTTTATTATTATTTTATAATAAGTTATAATTTGAAGTACTTGAATAAATTCAAATTTCAAATTTATACAACTCAAAATAATAACATATAATACATATTTGCAGAGATAACTCTTTGCTCAATTATAGGTTAAATTCTTTTCTACAAATATGGTAGTATGTGAATTTTCTCTAATATTAATTATAAATATACATTAATAAGAATATATATTTGATATATTACAAATATGTACACAGAGACAAAACACAGATATATCTTCCTCTTAATGTGAATGGTGTATAGAAACAAAACATTTTTCTGTATCCAATTTTAAAATGTACAAATTTTAGGAAAAATTGTATTCAGCTCAAACAAGTTCTAGTAATATTATTAGTGAAGAAATATCAAATATGTGTTTGGAAACTTCTACAAAATCTGTTAGATGTACACGGGCCAATAAGCAAACTAGTAAAAAAATAAATACATCAACAAAAAGATCAAATTCGGTAACAGATTCTGAACACAAATCAAAAAAAAAGAAAATAGAAAAACCTTCTCCTAGTAATGTGGGAAGAAAAACTAATACCAATAACAATGTATGTTTTATTAATTATTATGTCAAACAATGATTGAAAGAGTATACATTAATATTATGTCTACGGTCTATCTAAAATAAGAGTAACCTCAGGAGCACCAATTTTTATCTGGTTCTATCAGACTTACCTATTAAGTAAATAAGTTTTTTTACATCAATATCCATTTCCAACAATCAGCTGCTGCCAAAAACTTAGGTTACTGTGTCAAGTTAAGAAAATGCAAACTAAACCTTTTATTAGATTAATAAAGCGATTATAGTAGTACCACTCTACATCGTACATTAAAAATGTCTAAACTAATGAACATAAACTTATCCAAATTTGACTTTTTTAATGAAGTATTCAAATAAATATTTTGTTTTTAACTATGAAATTCAAAGTGTATGTAGTAATTCTAAAAAGTAAAAATTTAAAAAATTATAACTATAAAAAAATATAATTTTTTTCTCAAAAATGTTATTTTTGCAACAAAAAAATATATTCAAAATTAGGAGTGTAGATACTTAAATGGATAACATTGTATACTGTCTTACTTAATAGTGTACTACTAATTCACAGTGGTTCTTAACATTATATGTTAGCATTTCAAAATCCAAAAATTTGAACAACTAATCATTCTTAGGTTTCAGTTATGGTATTTTAGTGTATAAATCATTGATGACAAAAATATTATACTACTACTTAAAGCAAATGTATAAAAAATATTTCATGTATATTATGTGTATAACAATTTTTCTTTCAGAAAATTTCAGTCAAAGTATTAAATGAATCTATAAAACAGGTTACCAAAAATTTGTATTGTCGAAATAGTAAAGGAGAAACAAAATTACATTCTGCTTGTGCCAAGGTAAAAAATGAAATTCATAGAATTTCTATCAAATTTTTTCAATTCTTTAGAATGTGAACGCTTTTATTTGTTATGAATCTTTACTTTTGTGCAAAATGAGGCTGAGTGTCAAAAGTGATCAAGTAAATAAAAATATTATTTTATATTTATATGTTATGCCATGGTGTGGCACAGTGGCTGACCGCAATCTCATAAGATTGCTTAAACTACATTGTGTCCTGCGTCGCCAGCTCCTGGATGTGTGACAACCCATGTTTTTAGCGACAAAACATGGCACACATACACCATACCACATGTACAGCCCTACCATCTCAAAAACCTAAAAAAAAATACCCAAAAATAACCCATTATCGTACAATCCCACACTCAATAGCCTATTTTGTGAGGATCCCACCTAATAAAAAAAATTATTTACTAGTTATTTACATTTTGAACTTAATGTTGATATGAAATGTAGGCAAATTAAAATATTTTCTGATGTCTATTATTCTCTTTTTATATTAAGACTGGAGTTTGACATCAAAAAAATTTCTGTAATATGCTATACTGTCTATTCCATTGTATAATTTTAAATTATGTATTAACATTAAGCAAATATGTAATATGTTACTCTTGTACTCTATTCTAGGGAAAATTGGATTTAGTAACTTCATTGCTTGAAGATGGTTTCAATCCTAATGTTAAAGATAATGCTGGATGGACACCCATGGTAATAATTTAAAATAATATAATGTTCTATAATTCTATTATTGTGGTAAAAAAAACAGTGCTCTTACAATTGTATTTAAAGCATGAAGCCGTGAAATCTGGGAATATAGATATTGTGAAAGAATTGATCAAGTTTGGTGCTTATTTAAATGTTCCTGGTTTTGAATATGAAAGCCCACTATATACAGCAATTAAGTATGGTAAATTTGAAATAGCTAAAATACTTCTAAGTTATGGATCCGATGCAAATTGTATGAATATGTATGGAGATAATGTGAGGTAAAAATTGATTTTAATAATAAATAATTAAAAAATATATTTTCTATTGGGTAAACAATTTTATTAATAATTATGACATTTATTTACTAAAAATATTTGAATCTATTATTTTTATTTATTTTGTTCATCTGAAAGCAATTTTACAAAAGTGATTTTTAAAAATATTTGTGGCTACTTAGGTAAGATTGTTTACAATAAATGGAAGGTAAATCAACTTATTATGTGCATCTTAATAATTTTTAAATGTTTTAGATGTCTTAATGAAGAAAAGTTGTCTGAGTTATTGGAAAATCTAGTTTCAAGTAAATTAACACAAATTTGCCTTCCTAACTATAAACTAGATGAAACTGTCATAGCCCTTAATAATGTTTCATTAAAAAGTGAAACTGTGAAGACATTTTGTAAACAATTTAATATTAAATTAGTTCAAAATATTTTGTATGTTGATTATTATTTATATTTAAATTTTTTATAATGGTTTTACTGAAAAAATTTTATGTATTTATGTCACACAAAGGAAAGAAAAACAATTTGCTCAAATTACTCACATGATTGTATCCAAAACAAAAAGTAATACTTGTGATGTTAATTTAGAATGTTTATCTGCCATAGCAAATGGATTATTTATAATCAATGAAAATTGTAAGCATACTTCAATTTTTAAAAGCTCTTAGAAATACTATATTTTAATAAATAGCTATTAAATTATTATGAACAAAGTTTTGGATTCTCAAAAATTGTATACTTAATGTTTTTAATTAATGATATTGGGATTTGTTTATTCTAGCTAAATGTTTAGTATGTTGATATAATCAATGGTAACCCAAAAATGTTATGATTGTTTTTATAGATTCTCTGCAATAACTTGTATGTGTTAATTATAAATTATTTTATTACAATGTATTACTTCTTTGTTAGGGATTTCTGATTCATTAGACCAAAATAAACTTTTGAATTGTGAACATTATGAAGTCAGTGGAACAACATTGTTTGCTGATTGTAATGGGCCAAAGATATCACGAATAAGCAAACAAAAACTGGTAAATATACAGCTAATTGAAATGATACATCATTAAAGAATTTAATAATATTAAAATATCGAGGAAGAAAAAAAGGTTTTTAAGTCCAAAATAGAAACAAGACAGTATTATCAATGTTATGATCTCTCAAGAAACTTACAATTTTTTAATAATAATATAGCGTTTCCTATTTAAAAGTTCTTTTTCTAATACACAATTTCAAAAATATAATGTAAAAAAAATTATTAACAATAACTTCTTAATAAACTCAAGGAAAATTTGGTTTTTTTTATTTTAATGTTTTAATTTTGAAATATTTTTAAGAATTCTAATTGATAATTAGAACTATAGTAGAACCTTAACGATCCAAACTAATTGGGACTGTACATAGTTCAGAAATATAAAAGTTTGAATAGTGGTATTTTTACTAATACTAAATAATATGTACATGCATATTATATATATTAATACATTTAATATGTGCAATGTTCGTATATATCACAAACAAACATGCATAATATCAGTGGCGTTGGAATCTACATTTTTTTGTGAAGCAGTCTAAACATTTTATCCAACCACCCACTCACAGCATCTTCCCAATCATCTAAATTTGAGATGCTTCACATGGTATATGAGTTTGGCGCTACTGCATAAAATGATATATTTATAATTATAATTTGTTATTATTATTAATATTAAATAATTATATTATATTTGATATACTTCAAAAGTTTCAAGTACCAACTAATAATATTTTTCAATTACTAAATAAGAACTAAAATCTTTACTTTGTATTTAAATATCTGATTTCAAACAAATTTGAACTTAGAATATCTATAAAAAAAACTGTAATCATTCATATACTATTTAGATTATTCAGTTATAGTTTGAACAACATATGAGGAACCTTGTATTCAATTTCAATCTATTGCAATTATCCACATAAAACATTAATATGAATTTAGCTTAAATTTATTTTTAATTTACTAATTACAGTTTAGGGAGTTACCTCTTTATGATGTACCTTTTATTATATATTCAAGTTTTTAGACAGAGCAAAAAAAAATGTATTGACATTAAATGAAAAAAATTATAAAAAACTTCTCACGTTTATTCAAACTTCTTACCTATTTGCAGTCTTGTAACTATCTATTATGCATGGTGACAATTTCCCAACGTGGAAATTTACTTGTTTATGTAAATTTATATCCTTTTAAACTTCAGAATTGTTATGTATTTCATATTTAATTTATTACTTGATGTTTTTGTTGTATAGTATCCAAAATTATTTGATGGTATAAACATACATATAAGTGGAAGTAATGGTTGGAATCAGTTCACAATTGAAAATTTAAAAAAACTGGTTGTTGAATTTGGAGCAAAACTATTAATACGTATGCCAAATCCAGAAGATTGCCCCACTAATATAATACCATATCATTGCCGTAATAATGATCAGATGTTTCATGTTTCTACCATCATATTATATACAATGGATTCAAGTAGACTTATAAAGTACAATATGAAACATTTGAAAGCTTTTCACATTTCATGGTTCATGCAAGCTGTACAGAAGTATAATATTATATAAAATTGTTATTTATGTCCAATTATATAATCATTTTGATGTTGTCAATAGTAATTGAATACAAGTTGATTATGTAAACACAATTCAGTTATATTTTGAACTAATAAATTCACAAAGAGTGTATTTTTAAAATACATAAATTATTTTTGTCTATAATTTTTTAAGAAATCTTTAAGAATTTGTTTGTTGATTCTTGATTTATAATATTTACTTTTAATTTTTATAAAATATTTTATGATGTATTTTTATTTGATAGTTAGGTTAAAAATACAAGAAAAATAACAAGTTAAAAAATGTGGGTAAGTGGGTAATGCTCCTCTGTCTCGAGGTTCACTGTTAATAACCATTGTGTATGAAAAATTATTCTGAGCGAAGACGGTCTGTAATATTATAACATAATATGACGAAAATTTTATGATATTATTGTGATTTAACTCAGATATTAAAGTACAGTAAAACCTCATTAATCCTGACTTCGTTTAATCCAGACAGCTGTTAATTACGCTAGTTTATGTCGTAGATAAGAATAAACACAAAAACGAAGTATAAAAAGATGATGTAAGAAAATTTGTTTTGAAATTTAATGTAGAAAAAGAAACAAGTGTTGTAAAAAGAATGCGGTTGCTACTAGATCAATCCCTTGATGATGCATTATATCCAATAAAATTTTTTTTGAATTTATAATTTATGATTTTTGATTATTTTGTTTAATCCGGACTTTCATTATTTTGGACAACCTAGAGCCCCAATTAGTCCGAATTAATGAGGTTCTACTGTAGTTTATTTTACTATGAGGAATTAGTACTACAGGGGGTTAAATTATTTTTTGCTAAAAAAATTGAATTTGAAAATATAATTGTGTGGATATTGTATAGAATATAATAATGTATTCTAAAAGTCTAAAGGGTACCCATGGAATAATATTTTTAAATGACAACAAAATAACTAAAACCGTTATTTTTGGTTTTGAAATTATAAATTTCTTCTTTGATAACTAAGATCATTAGCATTACATTTGTATATGGATTTACATTTAAATAATAACTTATTTAATTAAAAATTGAGAGAAGAATACAAATAGAAGAAAAGAAAATTCTTGGTTTTATAATGTATAATTTCTTCAATATTTGAACTTCAAATATCTGTAGAAAATAAATTTTTTGGTTACAGTATGAACTATTTATGAGAATCCTTGTTTTACATTTTGATCCTTAACTTTAAAAAATGTATATTTTATAATTTTTAACTACACAACAGTTTGAACATTTTCGAGATTTTGATAAATGTCAAAATTAAAACTTAAAATAATTATAGAAAAAAATTGTGCATATTTATAATTTATTATTGCAACAACTTATAAGGAACTAAGGAACATCGTATAAAATTCTCAAATTTTTTAAATCGACCAATAAAATAAAATTTAAATGACATTTATAGAATAAAAAACTTTGTTAATATTTCTATGGGTACTTATATCTTTCATGCAAGATCGGATCCAGGGGGGGGGGGGCAAGTTCCCTTCCCGTTAACAAAAAAAAAAAAATATTTTATGTATATTTTCAATATGTTGTTAATTTAAGTGCCCCCTCTGTACAGAGATTCTGGATCTGCCCTACGTAACATACAGGTAGGTACCGCGTAAAGATTATTGTAATTATTGCACATGCCTAAGAAACTTTGTAAAGAAGATTCTCTATAATATCTTCTTTATACCATGCGCGTACCGTTTAGTTTATTACTCTATCACAAGATCTTAGATTATGCCCATAATTATATAAACTTGTTTGTACGAGTCTGGTGTTTTTATCATGAATTGAGCTGATATACCATAGAGTATTACTCTATGTGATATACCGTCGTTGTTCATGGTTATTATCAAAGAATGATTTTACTTTTTATCATGAATTTGTGGTTTTTATCACACCAAGTTCCCATTTAGAGGTTATGTCGGTTTTTTGACATGTGTAATTTTTAACAACAAAATAGGTACCGATGTATTACAATATACAAAATACAAATTGAAATTTTGGTCGCGTAAAATTGTAACACGAAACGAAGAATTTAAATATTTTTAAGTAGAAGTTTAAGGACAGGTAATTTTTCAAGTCAAGATTCTGTGATTTTTTTAAACTTATATGAAGATACTATAATAAATAATAATACATATTTTTCAGGAGCTATTTTATACATTGCGATTAATAAGAAAAAACTAAGAAATGTGTACGATAAAATGGGACATGATAAAAACGATCGGCGATCAAGACGCAGTGGAAGATGCCTCATCGGATTCCGATGTCGAAGTCGAAGTAATTTCAGACTGATTCATCGATTCAAACATCCATAAGTGTTGAGATATTTAATGATGTTTGTTTTCAGCACCAACCGAAAAAACACAAGACCAAGGGTGATTCGTATTTCGATGACGAATTCAAGTTCTTGAACATGGCTTCAGAGTATAATCACGACACGTGGGATGATCTACAGAAATATATAAAACGTAAAGGTACCAATAGGACTGATGAAAAAATAGAAAAATCCCGTAGATATGTGAAGTCTTTTGTGAGTGTTCTCATTTATGACAGTCAAGTCTTTCAAATGTAAATAATGTGTTTTTTTCAGCTGCCTGATGTAACTACTGAAGAGCATGAAGACTACAACGAACAGTCAGATTGTGATTCGTTATCTGAAGACGAACTCAAAAAAGGTTATGTGCTAACAATTTATATTTTTAACAAGATTTAATTTTCACATTCTATTTATTCTTCAGATGGTATCAAAGATCGACAAAAAATGGTTGGTAAAAGAAATAAAAAAAAGAAAGAAATTGAAGAAAATAAAAATGAAATAACTGTTGAAGATGAAGAAGAATTTTTTGAGGATGCTCCACCATTTGAAGAAAATGCTTCTTTTTATCAAATGAACATTTCAAGACCTTTGATGAAGGCTATAAGTGCATTGAACTATGTTCATCCGACACCTATACAAGCAGCTGCAATTCCAGTGGCTCTCTTAGGAAGAGATATTTGTGGTTGTGCTGCTACTGGTACTGGTAAAACAGCGGCTTATATGTTACCCATTCTCGAAAGACTTTTATACCGGCCCAAAGGTTTTACTCCTATTACCAGGTAAATCAGTTTTGAATGGTAGTTCAATTTTTAATATACATTTATTAATTGTAGTATTTGATTAGAGTTTTAGTATTGGTACCAACTCGAGAATTAGGTGTACAAGTATATCAAGTTACTAAACAACTTGCACAGTTTACATCGGTTGAGGTTGGTCTTTCTGTTGGTGGGTTAGAACTCAAAGTGCAAGTAAGATGAACACATAATATGTTATGTTGATGTATATTTTTATAACTATTATTATTTTCAGGAATCAATTTTACGTAAAAACCCTGATGTTGTTATAGCTACACCTGGTCGTTTGTTAGATCATTTACAAAATACTCCTTCGTTTTCACTATCAGATTTGGAAGTTTTAGTATTGGATGAAGCTGATAGAATGTTGGATGAAAACTTTGCTGACCAAATGAAAGAAATTATTAACATGTGTGCTCGAACCAGACAGACAATGTTGTTTTCAGCTACAATGACTGATGCTGTTAATGATCTTGCTACTGTTTCTCTGAGCAAACCAGTTAAAATATTTGTAGACAGTAATACAGATGTTGCTTTTAATCTAAGACAAGAATTTGTAAGGTATACAGACTAGTTTAAATTATAAGACATAATTTAGTTAGTAATTTAAATTACTTGTACTTTATTGGCTTTAGATTACGCCAAGGAAAAGAACAAGACCGAGATGCAACTTTAGCTGCTTTAGTATGTCGAACATTTAGGGATCATACTATGATATTTGTTAGGACAAAAGCTGACGCACACAGAGTGAAAATTTTACTTGGACTTTTCGGCCTTAAGGTAAAATAATGTTAAATATCACTATTTATTTATGATTTACCATTAATGTGTCACTAGGCTGGAGAATTACATGGAAATTTATCTCAACCTCAAAGATTAGAAGCATTACGGCAGTTTAAAGATGAAGAACTTGATTTGTTAATTGCCACAGATGTTGCTGCTCGTGGATTGGACATTCGAGGAGTGAAAGCTGTAAGTTAATTTATGAAATATACATTTATATGTTTTATATTATTTAATATTCAGGTTATAAATTATACTATGCCACCAACTGTTGAACATTATATTCATCGAGTTGGTAGAACAGCTAGAGCAGGACGATCTGGTGTTTCTGTTTCTATTGCCAGTGAACAAGACCGTAGAGTACTCAAGGAAGTCATACGAAAAGCCAAGAATCCAGTAAAAAATCGTGTTATTCCTATTGGTGTGTAGAATAACTATTGAAAATGTTATTAGTAATAATAATAATCTTATAATATAAGCTATTCAATTATTAAATTATTTATGCATTCTAGAAATTTTGGATAAGTACAAAGAGCGTGTAGATTCGCTTAGAAATGAGGTTAAATGTATAATGCACGAAGAGTATGAAGAACGGCAAATGAGTCGAACAGAAGAATTTGCTGACAAAACTGAAAAAATGGCAAAAACAAGTATTGGTACTCTTATTAAAAAGAAAGATGAAAAGAAAAGAGATTGGTTCCAGACACAAAAAGAGCGAGGAGAAGCTAAAAGTAAGCTATTAGTTTGTTATACTATATTCAGAATATGAATAGGCGTTTACACATGGCAAATAAGCATTAGGCGTTCGGGTGGGATTAGCTTACGTGTCTCATTTGTGGGCGCAGCTGTAGTAGTGGGGTAGATACGTGAACATCAAGTTTATAACCTCAGCCTGTTTTGTTCCGATTCTGAATAAAAGTTGGTGTCATATATTCAGTATATGTATTTGAAATTTTCATTTCATAATAAAACAAATATTGATTAAAAAGTGCTGTATTTTTAGAAAGATCAAGAGAAGCTTTTTCAGCCAAAATAGAGAAAAATATTAAAAAAAAAAAGAAAAATAAAGAAGAAGACGTTAATGAAGAAGAAGAAATTGAAAATCAAAAGAAAATGCAGAGGGTTGCTAATTTCCAAGCTAGAAGTGCCAAAAACAAAATGAAACCTAAGAAAATGAGTGCTATGGCAGATTTTGGTCAAGGTTTGTGAAGTGTTTTTTTTTTATTCTTCATTTTTAAATACTTATGTTTCTAGGTGGCAAATTTTCTTCAAAGTCTCCTAGTGGTAAGCAAAAGAAAGGAGGTTCTGTGTTTGACTCCCAGTTTACAGATGTAAGCAAATCTGGCGTTAAAAAGTACAGATATGAGTAAGTGTTTATATTTAAAAAATGGTTAATCTTGGTTCAATTGAACTATATAATAAAGTATACTACTATTAGGGCAAATCAAGCTAAAAGGATGTTGGCTAAAAAGAAATCTGCTTTAAATCAAAAAAATCAAAAAGCAAAATCTACGTCTTCGAAAAACCCAAATTCTCAAGGCAGAGGCGGAGGAAAAGGTGGAAGGGGAGGAAAAAGAAGATGAGCGTATCATTATAAAAACTGACAATTTATATTATTATTATTTACTTTGTATTTGTTTTAAAAAAGTGCATACATTAATTATATTACTTATTAAAGTAAATATTTATTTTATTTAAATGGAGCTATTGGAATGATGGGTGAGTTAAAGTATAAATCCTTTATCACTGTTTAGAAAACCACGATTTAAATCCTTAATCCTCCTGATCACATTGTAATTTTACTCTATGCTTTCGATAAAGAATTATAATATATTAGTAATATAAAATATTATAAGTTATTTATAATGATAAGCCATGAGTGCTATCTATGATATGTGTCTTTTTATGAACACCTTCCACAGTAAAATTACGATACTAATATACTGTAAGCATACATGCTGAGTCGTAGGAACAATTTATTAATATAATGGGCCACTAATTCATGTTAAAGGGACAACTAGCAAATTAGCTCCCTATTGATTCGTTGATTCACGATTGTTCATGCAACCCGGCATAAATTATCAAAGTAAGTTCCACCCACCAGCTGCTGTATTTCATCTTATCAGAATTCGCAACAATAACAGCTGTTATCTAAACGATGAAATCATGCTATATTGTTATTACCTTATTCGTAATCAGTAATCATAATCGCAATAATAATATTAAATATAATTATAATAATTGCTAACCTTGGCAGCGCAGTCTGTAGTGGCTACATAGTGCGCAAAGATGTTTACCAACAACCTTCCGTAGTCATTAGTACATCTAATTTTTATACTGAAAAAACAGTGATGGCTAGTGGTCCCAATTCCATAACTGTTCCTCGTGATATGGAGAAGAAAAAGTCACCTCAGTTAAGTTTCAAAAGACGAACAGTTGTTGCCAACTCGGATTCGGTAAATTTGTTACTTATTATTAAATAATTCAAAATTAATACCGATGTTTGAACCGTAGGATGCTAGTGTAGATAGCAACACACCTTCAGTGGAATCAAAAGATGATGGTTTTATTTATCATAAAAGGAAACTTGGACGAGAACCAGGTAATAGCACAGAATATATGTAGTGAGTATGGATATAGGAATATTTTATTAACATAGAGTGGTGTTTTTATTTGTATTATTTAAAATAATAATACTTAAAACTTATAAAGGAATAAAAAAAAATGATATTTTAACAATATGTACTGTTAGTTTTTATGTGTTTGATAGTTACTTGTGTAATTTTATTTTGATAGGTTCCAAAAAAATTATTCGCCGTGGTACAGAATGGGAGATAGTTGAAGGTCTTAAAGATGGACAAAGATATGACAAAAAACCAGACGTCTTTAAAGGTTATTTACACAAGAAACGAAAGTGGCCTCTTAAAGGATGGCATAAGGTTTAAAATGTTGTTTTATTAAAATCATTATATTTAATTGCATACAGTAATAATAACAGTTGATCAAATTTTCAGCGTTATTTTGTGTTGGATAAAGGAATATTAAAATATGGTAAAAATCCATTAGATATGTCTAGAGGTAAAATTCATGGTCAAGTTGATATTGGACTATCCGTAATATCTACTAAATATCAACGAAAACGATTAGACATTGATGCTGAAGAATTCATTTATCATTTAAAAGTCAGTACTTATATATTTTATTTTATTTGTTTTTGTTCTATCCAGTTTAATTGAGAATATATACCCTTACGTTAGTTTCCTACGAGTAATATTACCTGTTCCTTATGATAAGAAATAACTCAACACGTTTATCTCTGCTGGCAATCACAGATCGGCGTTACAAGTAGAGCCCTTCAGGCCACCGCCAATCCATGATCGTCATAGTGCATATTAAAAATACACGCCAATAATAATTCGGCCATAGAGATACTGTTTTATTATTTATCAGGTCATCCAGAACATATCAACAGAAAATTCTTTTCATTGGGTTTTTTATTTCCCTCTTTTTTTCGTATTCTTTCTAAATAATAAGCTACTTGTCCAAAATTTGATTTTTATGTATAAAAAAAAAATTTAAATAGTTAAAATTCTGATTAGAAATATGAAATAAAAAATTTAAGTTGTCTCTTAAAGGAGTAAATACTAAAAATGATGGTAAGAGTATAACTTTTTTCAAAAATTATGTTTTTTAACTACAAAAACTGTTTTCTGAAATAAAGGCTTTTGTCTTACTTTAAATTTATCACCCTAGTTCTGTACAAGCTTTATAACATTTTAAACTCATTTATTTTCAATCCTTTTTAATTAAATTGCATAATGCTTTAATTTGAGATTAAATAATTTGATTATAATATGACGTTTTAAAAAGTTTTTAATAAATTAAAATAAATACAAAAAAAGAGCGTGGCTCGGCGTGGCCCGTTGGCTGCTGCCAGTTGCAGAATGCGACTGTAATTAAGTAACGGCCACAGCTACTAGCTCCGGGATGGGTGACCACCTGGGTTCATAGTAGTAAAAAACCTTACCGCACATACACATGTTTCCTACCTATCTTAACAATCGTAAAAAAAAAAACAACCTACCGTACCAACCTTACCCCTACCACAGTTACCCCTACAACAGCTAATGGCCTTAGTCGACAGGCTAAAGTTCAATAAAAAAAAAAAGAGTATACAATTGTATAAATTAATCTAGGGAATTTCTCTTTTCTTCAACTAAACATTGTAACACTGCAAGCTTAAAATAAAATAAATTAACTAACTTTTAGTCTTGTTGAAATTATTGTATTGCATATATCTTGGTTACGTATTTCTGAAAATAATGTATTAATATATTGAACGGATCTATGAATTATTACTTAGTTAATAAATTATAAACTAATATTACACAAAAACCTGTATCTTACCTAAACAAAAATGTCTAATGTTACCTTTCTCTTTTAAATCTTTTACGCATTATACTGAGCATTTCCAAATAATATTCACCCAACAATGTTTAACAAATAAGTTACAAAACTAACTCACCTGTTTTTTATATATATTTATATTATGTTTTAATAATGCAAAATTCTCATATTATCATTTGAAAATATATTAAGGGCTATCCAGATCTTAACTAATGATATTTTTAAGAACCACTCACATAATTTTTAAAATTTACCAAGGACAAAGATCATTATTATATAATATAAGGTATAAAAATGCTATGTATAAACAATATACTTTTAATTAAAATATCTTAAAATAGGTAGTTAATTATTGATAGAAGAACAAAAATATATTATTTTAACAATTACTGTAGGATTAATTTAATTATATAGGAGACAATTTAGACCCAAGTTTTTTAAAATGTATTTTTGTTATGTTTATAACATGTGTAATACAATATGTATTTTGGTCACCTTCATCAAAATCATAAACTGCTAGTCAATACATAATATGTCTTAAATTTTTAAGTTCTAACCAATCAAACGAATCACTTTAAATATTAATCCATTTATGTATTTATTTTCTTTAAATAAATTAGTAAATAATCCTACTTAGAAGGCCAAAGCTTAAAACGACTTATTGAAAGTTGTATCCTGATTGTAAATTATACATAATGTTATATATTCAAAAATGTACCTCTAAACTATGTATAATCTAAGAATAGTTTATTCCCTTAAATAAAATTTATTTATTGTATTATTGTCATGACATGTTGATATCTTGTTGATGAAATTGTGTCGATACATGATGTTTAGGCACAAGGATAGATTAGGGCATCTGAAAATCATGAAATTTCCATATGGCCACATACTAATAAATCGATGGAGCCGCTGCCAGTGTCTGTATTCCACTAAAAAAAGGATTAGTTGTTGACTGTTTTTTTTTATATAGCTTTCTCATATTTTTTTTTCATACAGAGAGCAAAATAGGAATAGTCATTATTCATAAAAAAAAAAAAAATTTTAGTAGTATAACAGAAAGTGAATAGTGAGTAATAACTGCTGTTTTTGTTGTTGTTGTGAATGTTGTGTTATAATATACTATCATAGGATTATGAAGGAAAAAATAATCTGAATTAGGTAACACACTAATATAATATAATAATTATAAATTTATTTTACATTTAGGGCTGGTACTTAAAATTATTTTTAAAAAAGTAAGTTAGGTAATCCATTTTGTAAATTGTTAATTATTAAGTCATTTATTATATTATAATATAATATAATAATAATATAATATTATTATATTATAATCAAGGTTCGGGACTCATAGCATTTGCATACTTTTTGTATTTATTGTAAAATGTAGCAGAGTACAAAATAAATTCATTTCTCAATGCCATGATACCAAATCTAAAATTTGAATGTGCATATTTTTGCATATTTCATACATTTTGTCGGAAACTGCTTATTTTTACGTTATTGTGCTTAATTTACATATTTTGGAAAATTTTTCAAAATTTCAACTTCACAAATTTCACCCGATCTAAAAAAAAAATAGTAATGCAGCTTAATCACAGTCTTATGTACCTATTTGCTATATACAACAGTGTGTTTATTTGTGTCCATTTTTGTGGTTTGAAAATATTATGATGGCCTGATTGCCCATGTCCGGTATTGTTACATATTATATAATATGTTGCCATACGAGCGATACAATAATTTTAGCATATAGCATATATTGCGCTTATTAAACGTTCTTTGAAACTAAAGGTATTCCTGGTAAATGTAAAATTATTTATTTATTGATTTAAATGAAAAATTTAATTTTTAATTTTTCCCATCATTATATAGTTGACGAATAAAATTCAAAAAACTCGGAAATTCAAGAAACTAGTCAACAATCAGTTGATTTTTTTTAAAATTTTTTATATGAAGTACACTAATTGTAATTACTAATTATTAATAAAATAATAAATGTATTAAATGCATATTCCTAAATTTTTTATGCATATTTTAGGGTTTTTAAGTGCATATCTTAGCTCTTATTATTGTGCTTTTAAGTGCTATAAGTCCCAAACCCTGATTATAATATTAGTTTGTTTGGAGAGGACATGTATTTAAATATTTTAATTTGATTTAAATTATTAACTAATACTATATTAAATGCAGTACAATATTGTTTTCTATTATGCATAGGGCCCTCACACCTTTTTATTGTTTATGCATAGTATTTATCCCAAATACAAGTCTAGTAGAGAGCTTCAAAGTACTAGAGAGCTCAAAATCCTAATCCGTCTCTGTTTAGTATTTAGACATGTCAAGGGTCAAAAAACACATTGTTGGCAACTGAAATAGCTCATTTGACAAATGTAATATTTATTATACTCAAAGATTATAAGTTTTAACACAACTAACAAAAGTTACCCACCCTCCACGAGAGCACATGCAGTTTGCACCCTTGCTAACCTATCTGGGCGCCACTACACCTGACTTAGAACTTTGTATATATGTCCTCATTATAAATGATTATTTTATTTTCTAAGACTCATAATATAAAATAGGTACCTAAAAATATCATTTTTAATATGTGTCTCTGTCGCACTATTTTAAAATTACTGATTTATTGGTTCTGAAATCATTATTTATTATTAAAATTTAATTTAAAAGTTGTAAAATGTTACATACTGTGTTCAACATTTTTGAAAAATCGTTCAATTATATATCTCAATACCAAGATTGAGTTATTAATGTTAAATTATATAACTATTTTATGTTATAGGCAAAAACATTTGAAGCATTTTCTGAGTGGGTAAAAGAAATAAAGCAACATCGTCTCTATAGACAACATGTTTTAACTTTTGGTCAAACAAAACAGACACAGTCTCCACTACAAAAAAAAACATCTTGTAAATATGAATACATTGATTAATAATATCATAAATATAAACCGATAGATAACCGATAATATTTTAAACACATTTGTATTGGCTCATACTAAGTAATGTATTTCATACATTTATTTATGAATATCTAAATTTTGATGAGGTTATTTAGCACATAATAAAGTGGTTTGTAAAATAAATAATTTTCTTTATATTTTATTATACAGTAATATCTCCTGTAGAGTCAATTAAAAACTGTACTCCGAATGTACGTTTAAATGGATGGTGTTCACAATTGGATCCAGCAACTTCAGAAATTAAGCAAGTTGAACAAAATTTGAAGTCTTTAAACCGAATACTTGATCAATTAGAATCAGTTGATAATGATGTAATTATTAATATTATTATTATTTTGTTTATAATTAATCAAATTTTTTCATAAAACTATTTGTCGTTTTTTGTAGGTTGGCGTACTCGATGGAATTCCAGTTGCAAAAAAAAGCACCAGGTTTCGTTTGCGTAAAAAAAAAAGTGGTGGTGGTAGTTGGGGTGGTACAATTGCTGGATGGGGCATTGATATGAATCAATCAATCAGTCAATCAACTAATAAAGCTGTTGATGTTACAGACTTGTCTGGTTTTGTAAATATAACTTTAAATACAAATATATTTCCAGGCACTATTTTTTTTTCTATTTTAGCCTACTGGAATAGCTTCTCAACATTTATCCAACAGTAATCCATCATTAACTGTTAATCCATCACCTAGTGATCTTCAACTCTATACTGATTTTGTTATTTTAGCAAAAGATAGTAAGTATAATATGTTAGCATTTTTAAATATTGAATGGTATAAAATGTTAACTTATCATTGTATTGTAAGTTCAAAATAGTTTTAAGTGCATAATGGATGCAATAAATGAAGAACGCAGTCATGTGTTTGTTGGTGATGCAAGCGATGACAAATTATCTAATTACCGAGTAGCTTTAAATAAGGCCATTCAACAAAATAGTGAACTTCGTGCTAAATTAAATAATATTCATATTACTTCAGATGCATCAAATTTTCCAGATCCTGTAAGATTTCATAAATATAAATTTCAATAATATATTTAACTGTAATAATGGTATTATTTTTAGGTTCTAAGTTCATCATTATCATATAGTTCTGGTGTAAGTGGTTCAGAAGTATTTTTTGATGCTGAAGAATATCAAGGTGGTAAAATGAACAATTGTAATGAAACCGTAACAAATGAATTAATTTCTGGTGAAGTAGTCACACAAACTTCAGATACATCTTCTGAAGCAGGATCTTTATCATCTGAGGATGGATCTATATCTTCAGAAAATAGTGACGGGGCCACATCTGAGTACAATAATCCGCAAGGAGGTAAGTAATATCTTAAGTATTTTAAATATAATATATAATATATTAATATGCTACTACAATATATACAGTAAGTAGTAAGACCTAGCTAGTTCATCTTGTATGGAACCAGGAATGGTCGGATTGAGAGGTTTTGATCAAAAAAAAAAAAAATGCCTAAAATTATAAATTATATTAATGTATGAACATTTATTAGTAAGTTTTTCTTATTTGGATAACATAAATACAATTAAAGTTATCATATATGGGTATGATAATAGTTAAGATTTCATGACAAGCTATGTAATCTTCTATATTATAATTTATATTTTAAAAGCCAATGTTAGTCCGATACTCCGATCTCCATGAACAATGAACCTTCAGGAAGTAACTAATTTGTTGAGTAGACGCGCGCGAAGGTTTCTTGCACGGGGTCAGCTAGACACTAAAGTGTATTTTAATTTTATTTGTTCACGTACTAGTACTTTAAATTGGTTTTAAAAAAATGATGCCTTAAAAAGTTGAAAAATGCATTTTTAACTTCAATTATCTTGAAAAATGCAAAATATGCCCTGAAAAAGTTTGTTATTAGCATGGTGTGTACATGAAACACATTAATTGTCACTTGGAAAGCATTTTGTCGGACATAGTATCGACATTTTAACCCTAATAATAACTATTTTATTTACCGAGTACCTAATGTAATAACTGTTGAAAACCCATTAAAATCGGTTCATTTCAATTCGCTAAAAAACTTTCCCAGGCAGACGATCAAATGTATCGGTGCGTGTTTCATGTAATATTAATTTTGTGCGTTTATAAATTACCACGTATGTACAACTTAAATACTTTTAATATGTCATATTATGTGTACACAAGGTCATTAAAATTTAAAAAAAAGATTGTTTTTTTATTGCATGAGTTAATTATCCAAAGATATGTGGTAACCCATGAACAGGCGACATAATATAATTACATGTAATTACCCGTAAGAAAATCAAAGTTTTTCCAAGAACTCCTCTCTAACTATATGAAGGATTATATCGAGTTTCCATGACAATTATAAAAAAAAATAATACAATTTTGTAAATTATATCCAATCATTACAATCATTATAACTATTTACATTTTTGATACCAATTGCAACCAAAAACTAATCTGTCGAATATATACAAAAAAAATATTAGATTTCTATTTGCCTAAAATAAATTCCTGCGTGCGCCCATTTTTAAAATGCTAATTTGTTTAAATCCCTTCTTATTGCATATCTAGAACATTGGACTATTGAAGGAACCATTATTCAACATGTCGAGCTTATAGGTTTTTAGAAATAATGATTAGTTTTGGATATTATATTTTGAACCCAATACTTCACTGTAGAAAACTAAATAAGCAGATAATTCTGTTCCAAATAATTTATGAGCGATGAAATGCTTGATGTGCGCATGCACATCGTCGCATATTTAGCTGCTGGTTTATATTTTTACATATAGTTTTGTCGACTTTTTTCTTTGCGCATGAGCAGTTTTCTTGCGCACGTGCACATTAAACAGATCAGTCAGACTTGTCGCTAATATATGTGCATCAAGTTATCGGGACATTGGTGCATCCCATTATCCATAATATATGATCTAAGGTCACTTTCATACAACTTGTCATCAATGTTTTTATCTATACTTTTGCAAACACTTTTTTAATAAAAAAAAAGTGCTAAGCAAATTATAGAAAACACGTCAAATTGAGTGTTTTTCATATTAAGAAACTTAATTATTTTCTCAATTACAAAATGTCAACAAAAAGTGGCGTAATTTGGTTAAGTGGATAACCTATGGGTTATAAGGGGAACAAAACCACCTTACTCAACCAGTATTTTCATAGAACTTTTTGTTTAAAAGTGTTCTTAGGTGCTTTTAAATATGTATGTAATAATATTTTGTCTATGATCACTACACACCATTATCCTGCTACATATCCAATATCCATATTATGCATATTCCATACATATTTTTCATATGTAACCTCAGCGCCGAATATAATGATATATACAATATCATGATACATATAATTATTAATTATACATCGTCACATTAAAAAAAAACAACGCTAAATTGAACTTATTTCATTGAAGGGTTTTTTTATTGTTTTCAGCCTTTAGACGATTTTGTAAAATCAGTTTGTATATTTTTACTACAATTCTCTCTCTCTTCTTGTAATCGGCTGCTTTCCTTCATTAATTGCTGAGCACTGCTTAAAATCTATCGGCATTCGTACTATGTTTCTATCTCAGGTTCGTGTTCCTAGTAGTATTTTGAATTTTCCTTATTGGCTCTACTTTAATTAACTTTTTAATCATGGTACCGTTTTTTCACCAGGCAAGTACGGCCAGTGGCATATTAGTGAGGCCATGAAGGACAATTGCCCCAGGCATCACCTCGTCAAAATTAAAAATTCTCAGTTATTTATAAATGCATTAGAAAAAACAAAAAAAATCAGTTTTTGACAAGATCGATTTTAAAAATCTCTAAAAAAAATAACGGTAGATACATTCAATGTGTGCTCAAATTTTCCTATGCCAGATTCGGGTTTGTGTAGAATTTGAACTAGAATATGAAGATAATGGCTGTCCTTTTTTTTTAAAAATTGAGTTGGTGAAATGTGGTTTAGATAACTTTGAGGAGTAGGTAAGTGAATTTCGACTTTGTTAATTCGATTTGTTTATATTATTCGATTGAGTACAGTGTATTCAATTAATAATTTATTAGTTATTTAGTACGTCATCGGTCAACATGTCATATCGGTAATTACGCACAAAATCTTTATTAAATCCAGCTGAATTTCCTGTGTTTATGTTTATCGATTTATGCAACCTATTAGTTAATGAGACTTAACTACGTAGTCCCTTCGATGTAGCATTAATTAATTTCAGTCATAGTTTTGAAAAAAAACCTATTAATAAATTCATAGAATATATACTAAAAACTAATATTACAGCAACTTATTACAACAACGTTTATATTATTGTTTATAATTTATAAGTAAATATCGGAGTACCAGATTTTTAAAGACTATATGGTTTGAATAGGTTCGTGTTATTAAGAGCCTTAAATAATCTAAACATTTCATTCTGCTTAGAAACTAATAATATACGTCATAATGGTAAAATATTTCTTATTTTCTTATTTAATATTTTTTAAATGCTGTAAGAAAATGTTATGTGTAAACTTTTATGTAAATATATCGATATATATTTATCTGTATGGTCTGGAAACGAAATAATAATACAAATAAAACGTTAGGAGATAAATTAATATAAATTTTCCAATTGAAATTTGAAAAATCGATTTATTTTATGTAACCCAGTTAGCTGGTTTGACATCTACCCAGTACCTATTCTATTATTTTCACCGCCTCTCCCTTTATGAAGGTTTATGTACTAAATTGTGTTTGTTATCATATTCTCTCTATACAAATAAGGTTAGGTTTGGAAACAATACTAGATAGTAGATACCTATCCACAACTACATCCAAATACTATTTAGTAGATATGAGCGGCCTATACATATTACATTTTTTGCGTACTTACTAAAAATATAATATTATGTAGATTCGGTTGTTGAATGTTTTCATTGTTTTAATTGTTTCTTCATATCTAATATTAATACACAATTTTATTGTGAATGCTTTAATTTTGAGCTGGAAAATAGTTACATATTTTATTTGATCAAATCCAATAACTATGTAATGATTGTAATGTTTACTGAACGTCTAAAAATAGTTAACTGAAACACCCATGCCAGTACCCATGTACCTACCAGTTTTTAACCAAATGTTTACAATTGGTTTTAGAAACATACATTTACGTTGTACATTTTGGGAAACGATCACGAAATCGGATTACTTGTTTTCATTATGCGTTTACGGAGGTTTTTAATCACGGATTCCCATAAAATAACGTTTATAAAAAAAATTATAATTCAATTTTTTCATAGTAACCAGACTTATATTCAGCATTTCAAATATTACTTATTGTATAAAATCAGATTGTTTCAGTTTTATTTATATGGTGAAAGTTTGGCAAAACTTCAAATATTTCGCGCATTCGATAGTGGCTACTCTGTTAAAGTTTACACACTGGTAAAAGTTCAGGCAAGAGTGCAAGACTATATTTCTCCCACTGTACTCGTAAAATCAATGCATTTGTCAGTAGTAAATACTAATCACCCTTTTCTACATTTTACAAAATATGCTCTGATAAGACATTATCCCGTTTTAAAATTGTTAATATTTTGGGTGAGTTAACAAAAATAAATGTTTATAATGGAAGATGGATAAATACTTTCGCGTGAGTTGAATAAAACACAATAAAAACGTTTTCATATAATATACCAATTTTAATTTTTGTTATTACAAAAATAATAATTGTTGTTATTTCTTATAGTAGATTGTGGAGGATCTGGTGATACCCGGAATATGACTGGACGGCGTACAAAGCTACCATGTCCAAAACCTGACACCGAAGGATTGTCCTTATGGAATCTCTTATGCAAAAACATTGGTAAAGATCTTTCCCAAGTTTCGATGCCAGTTGCACTTAATGAACCTCTTAATATGTTACAGGTAAGCACTTAAATGTAATTTTGTTTATTTTTCTTTTATTAATATAATAACAATTTCTTAAAAGTAGTTTTAAATGTGTTAAATCTATTTGATGATGTAATTTGACCAAATTGAAGTATTAAAGTTTATTTTTTAAATACGTACTAATTTTTGATTTTTATAGTTATTAAATGTAAAATTGACTATGGGATTTAAATTTAACACATGTGTTAAATACTATTTATATCAAATAGTTTTAAATCATAACATGTTTTACATTAAAGTTAAAAATGGTATTTTTATATGATATATATTTATATGTATAGCGTATGTGTGAAGAACTAGAATACAGTGAACTTTTAGATAAAGCATCAGAACAATCGGATGTATATGAACGCATGGTATATGTAGCAGCATTTGCAGTGTCGAGTTACGGTTCCAGTTATTATCGTGCTGGTTCCAAACCATTTAACCCTCTTTTGGGCGAAACCTATGAATGTATACGAGATGATAAAGGCTTCAAATTTATTGCAGAACAGGTAATAAAAAAAACTTTTTATTAATTTTTCACACTTATAATATTATTACTTTTACATTTTTTTATAGGTTAGTCATCATCCACCAGTTAGTGTTTGTCATGCTGAATCAAAAAATTTTATATTTTGGCAAGATGTTAGAATTAAGACAAAATTTTGGGGGAAATCGATGGAGTTTCAACCAACAGGTTTGTTAAATGTGAAAGGAAATAAATTATGTATTTTATTATATTTTAAAATTTAATTTTACTTTTTTAGGGTATGTAAATGTACAGTTACTATGTCAGGATAGCAAAGATCATTATAGATGGAATAAGGTGACAACTTGTGTTCATAACTTATTTGGTGGTCAAAGATCTGTAGATCAATATGGTGAACTGAAAATTACCAATTTGGATAAAAATATTACATGCAAATTAACATTTTTGAAGGTTTGTATTTATGTAACCATCACATATGTAATGTTTTGTAAAAAAAAAATTATAGTATTTTTATCTTTTAAAATTAATTTTGGGTGACTAAATAGTGAAAAGCATCTCATTTGTATTAATCTTGTATGTACTCATTACTTTTTTTAATCACTTAAAATCGAACTTATTATGTTGTTTCATATTATAGGCTAGTTATTTTTCTGCTAAACGTCATGAAATACATGGTGTTGTAATTGATGATAATGAAGGGAAAGTTGTACGTAAACTATTTGGTAAATGGAATGAAGCTCTGTATTGTGGAGTTTCTGCTGCACCTTCTGCAAAATGTATATGGAGACCAGGTATTTGAATAAAATGAACAATGTTTTTAATTTGAGTAGGTCAATAAATACATTTTATTTACAGGTACTATGCCAGAAGACTATGAATTATACTATGGATTTACAAGATTTGCAATGGAATTAAATGAGCTTGACTTAGAAACAGCCAAGTTTTTACCAAAAACTGATACTCGATTTCGACCAGATCAAAGGTACTTAATCTTACAATGTATTTAAAAAGGGGTCAATTCTTATGAACAATTTTTTATATTAAATTTAATTGGATGTTTGACAATTAATTAATTGTATTAACATAGGCTACTAGAGGAAGGTAATCTGAATCGTGCGGAAACTATGAAACTCAATTTAGAGCAAACTCAGCGTGAACGCCGTAAACAAAAAGAAGAAACTGGAGAACAACATGAACCTAAATGGTTTAGAAAAACTGTTAGAAATGGTATTGAAACTTGGGAGTATAATAATACGTATTGGGATGTACGTAAAAACCCAGGATTTACTAATTACCATTTTGAAAAACTTTGGTGAAGGTTACCATTAAACTTTATGTAATCAGTGTGTCATTTGGTCAGTTAGTGGTGTTATGGTTAGGTTAGCCTTATGTTTAATAAAATCTGGTGAACAAAATAATATGAATCAAATAGTCTCAAAACTGAGACAAATTAGTTAATCTAGTCAATATTTTCATACTCATGTGTTTGTACTTTTCCATTATATTTAATTTTCTTCCATTAAAAATCACTTGATAAGTTTCAAAGTCTTACACATCCATATAAAAAACCTTCTGTTAGTTTACCAAAAAATTTATTTAGATAATTTTTGAATTGTAGTAAATGCCTATTTACTTTTTTGTTATTTTTTGTTTATACATGGTACCTGAATAATATGCTATAACGAATGAAAACTTGACTGTAAAATGTAGGTATATAAATAATAGTAATTACAAAATCAGAGTATTACAAAATATTAAGAACAACCTAAATAGTTTGAATACTTAAAAACTAGTTTTCATTCTGTTTTATTGTATCAATTCTATGACCGAATCTATTATAAACATCATTTTTATTAATTCAATATTTAGAACCTAAAAATATAACATCAACATTAATTTTTATGTGATGTAATTGTTAAGTAACAATTTTAACCATAAAACCATTCAATAGTATCCATTTTTTTTTTTCAAATGTGAGGCACTGCAAGTAATAAACTGATAATACCTATCAGCTTCAATATATTTTATTGTTATTTAGTAATTCGACTTTTTTTAAAAATAGGCTTTTTTAATAAACTTAAGCTAAATAATTACTCTAGTTGTTTTGAAACAATGATTAAACATTCCCATTATATTTTTCATTAGGATAGAATGATAATGATTTAGTTATGTTACATAATTTTATTAATATAGATTTTTTAATTATTGAAAAATTAAATTAATAATTTTTTTAAGCCATATAGGTAAAAAGAATATTAATTACTATTTTAAATTAATACTGTTACTTTATTATGTACAGTCAAAACTTAAAATCATGAAGTAAATGCAGCAATATGCTATGTTACACTTACTATTTTTCATGAGGTATTATGGTCAGAAACTCGTTAATAATTGTAATAATGTATTTTTAGAACAATAATTATTGATATTGTAAATTATTTAATTAATTTCAAACTATTTAACTGAATTTTATAATGAAGTAAGCTCAAGAGTATGCTATACATATATTTTTCCATCTCAATTAGATAAATATCAATTGGTAGAAAACAAATAATAATAATTACAGATGTAACTAATAAGTATATTACAATATTATTTATTTATGTTTTGTTTAGTTTACATTATACTCTCCACACAATTTGTTTAGATTATAATTATATTCATAACTGAAATGCATTATGCTAAATATGCGATAGGATTAATTTCAATTTGAAAATATCATGATATAATGATATAATGATATATTTATTCTGTGATACGTTCTGTAAACGTTAAAAACAGTTATTGTGTTAATAATATTATATTAACATCTTACATTCCCAATGTATATTATAAACATTAGTGTTATTGATTGGCTCATAAAAACAAAATCGAAAACATACATTTTTATTTTATTAATAGATATATTATTGATCATTATCACTGTCGTTATTAATTTTGTTTGTTATTAAATGTTAATCTAACAATGGAAGGGTGATTATCTCATTTAAGTGAGCTACTTAAATTATTTGTGTCTATAAACTCATATGCACATTACATTTTGTGTATTTGTATTTGTATGACATTATTATATTATTTAAATTATGACAATTGTTTACGTAGGTTGTGGTCTGTTATATTTTTATTTTTGCTTAAAAAAATTGATTTTGTAGGTTTTTTATTGTTTGTATAATTATTATTTAATTCAGAAAATATATAAATTATAGAGCATTATAAATTTTAATATACATGTTATTAACACCATTGAATATATATAACTGCTCGTAAAACATACTTTGTTAACATGTCAATATTAAGATAATAAGATAGCGACAGACGACAGTCACACACAATACATAGAAGATCTTCCTTACATTGTGCAGAAATGATGACGTTTTTGAGTAATAAAATATTTCATACCATTTCAATAAATTAATATATTATACAATTACAAATTATTAAAAATACTATAGCATGTTATTATTAAACATAATAAAGTTTCTTAAATAATTTTTTTTTGTGTTTTTTAACTATCTAAATTACTTTTCGCTTTATAAAGAGGAGTCAGCAATATCTGTTATACCTCCTGAAGCATGATACATGCAGCATAGATAAAACGCAGTCACGTAAAATATTAAACTGATACCGGTTAATAGACTAAATTCAACGGTTCTGGTTTGCTTGGGAGTGTGAAAACATTATAGCCCAACTACTCAGGTTTGTTATCTCCCTACCATCCATAGGATTAAAATGGGGGAAGAGCAAGAGGTTACAAGGCCCCCCCTCCTATAAAAATTTAAAGGGGGCAGTGTGTACCCCTTTGGTATTTTGGAAATTAATTAGAAAAATATTATCGAAAATGCATTTGTAGAATTATTTTATCAAGAAAAGTATAATATTTTAAACAATTAACTAAAGACAAAAATAATTAATAGATTAATCAAAAAAATTGTAATCATTGCCATTTGGCCATTTTGCCATCATCTCTAAGGTAATCATTTAAGTCCACTTTTATTCTGTCTGTCTATCAATTCAATCGCTGACCATTTGAACTTAAATAAGGTAAGAATTTTATTGTATGTTGATGACATAAAATTTAGTACTTAAGAGGACGCTATACTGTCCACAAAATGTTTGTAAAAACCGCTTCACGCGGGAAAGAACCACTCGGGCTGTAGTCCAAGTTAGGCAACAAAATTTTCACGGCAGAAAAAGGAGAACTTTAACTGTGCAACGTTGGTTTTACTTTTTCAATATCAGAACTAAAAAAAAAGTTATTCAAGTTTGAAAAAAACAAAAATAGTCAATTTTGAAACATTAAGCACTTGTTTTGTATTTGTGATATCGAAAAAGTAAAACCAACGTTTCACAGCCAAAGTTCTCCTTTATGTGAGGTGGACATTTCGTTTCTTAGTTATGACAGAGCCTTCTCGGTTCTTTCCCGCGCGAACCAGCTTTTATGTAAAGGTTTCAATTTCATTGAATATTTTTGTCTGTATTGTGCTGCTGCCTACGATCGTTGCGACAGCGAATACGATTTCCCTCACCACGATAAACTGAAATTATATTTGCCCGTGTCTGGGCCGCGTCCCGCGGTGTCGTTATCGGCGGGTGTAGCGTCCTCTTAAATTGATTTGCTTCTGTACTGCCAAACTTTTCAAGCTGCACTTTACATTTTTAACCAATGGGTTATTAGCATTAGATTAACTTTTAATTTGAATAAATGTCAGATAACGCCGTTCTTAAGATCTCGACCTCCCCGCCGTAATTCACCCTTATAGTTTAAATTACCATCGGCTTCTAAGTGCTTTCATTGTTAAATACCTTGGGATATTCTACTCCTCTCTTTCCTGTGGACATCACATCAACTTTACTATTAATAGTGCGTTGAAATTGAAAGTGCTCAGATTCATTAAGTGTAACACACTAACACCAAAGTTTTGAAAACCGACCTCTGCCATTCACTATATTTTTCACTTGTTAGACCACTTCTTGAATTCAATGTGGTTGTTTGGCACCCTTTTCTTGCGAAAGACAAAAATTCGCCTTGAACGTGTACAAAATATTTTTTTAGCACAATACGCTGCTTTCATTCTCAAAATGTCCGTCGTTCAACATGACCACTTCTACCATCCATAGGTACATGAAGTTTTCCATACCTATCTATACTCTGTCCTCTCTCCGCGTCGAAGCTGACCAAAGATTCATGTCGGCTATCTTAAATGGGTTCCTGGATGTCCAAGACCTTTTTAAAAAAGTTTGCTTTAGAGTTCCATCGTACGCTACCTTTCGTTATCTCCAGTCACACCACCTCTTACGGCCATAACCAGCCACTTAACCACATGCTCAGAACCTCCTGACTCCTTTTTTTTTTTACAGTTTTGAACCGACAACGCCGTGGAAAATGCTTTCACATCGCTTCCGCGACGACTACCTCCTGATTCCTACCTTTTAGATGTATTCTATATTTAATATTTTTATTTGTGTATTTTAATTATTATATTCATAACTATATAAATAACACAGGTATGGTTTTCTTTGCATTGTTCTATTGAATAACTTGTTGCGTTTACCCCATTGTAACTCCCATTTGGCGTATAAATTATAAAATAAATAAACTTGCCATCACAATAGGCACATCATGTTAACAGCATTTAGTCTCCTCTCGTAGTTCTCGAATAATAACAAAACCAAGATGAAACTTTAATTTCGAGAAATTAAGATATTTTAGAAATTTGTTATAGATACCTACCAACAGTATTGACTTCAATGATTTAAAGCCAGAATTAAAACTATTTGGGAAAATTGTGTTCATCATCAATTAATATTACTGAACATTTTGGAGCCCATTTTAGATATTATGGAGGATAATATATTAATAATATGTTTGAGGGTTTGAAATACCACTATATCAGATTTTATTATTTATTTTTTGACACCGTATACGACTCAAAATTTTTTTTTTTTTTTTTCTTTTCTTTTTTTTATTAGAATATTTACAATCTATGCTACAATAAGGCATAATAAGCAAATTTGAGCACACAACGTACAATTTTATTTACAACATGAACACATGAGGAGGGAGGCCATCCAGTGATAGAACCCAACGTTATTTTAATTTTTTTAATTAATTTTTTTAATTTTAATTATTTATTAATTATTGACTTGATATAAATTAAATTTAAATTAAATGGTATGAACCATCAATCATTCAATAAATCACGACACCAGTTTCTCTTTAGGCGGCGTGGGGGGTTACTAGGAAGTGAGTTGGAAGCAAGTTCAGCGATTAAAGGGTTAAAGTGACATTGTAATTTAGAGTGAAATTTTCTATAGTGTTTTGTGGCTAATTGATTTACTGTTTCTATTTTGAAGTCATTTTGGAGTGTGGAATTTGATACATACCAAGGTGCGGAAGAGATAATTCGGAGAGTGATACATTGGAAGGCTTGGAGTGTACGTATTTGAGATGGTTTAGCGCATCCCCAAATTTGGATAGCATAAGCCCAGATAGGCCGTAATAAGGATTTGTAGATAATTATTTTTGTGTGGAAGGGTAATTTTGATTTCAGAATTGGGCGAAGTAAGTGGAGTCGACTATTGAGGATTTTTCTTTTTGACTTGATATGAGGACCCCAGGTCAGTCTTTTGTCAATTAGGACACCGAGGTATTTTACTTCTGAGGATATTGGGATTTGTATTCCTTGAAAATAGAGGGGAAGGGGTATGGACTTTTTTAGTGTAAATGGAACATAGATTGATTTGTCAGGATTAATTTTGATTTTCCAGATGGATGACCATTTGTCTATTAAGTCTAAATGTGTTTGTAAAAAATGTACAGTTTCTACAGGATCAATACCAGGTGAGAGAATTGCAGTGTCGTCAGCATAGGTGGCTATAACAGTATTTGGGGTTTTAGGAATATCAGCCGTGTAAACATTAAATAAATCGGGAGAAAGGTCACTACCTTGGGGAACTCCTGCTTCAATTGGGTAGAATGACGAGACAGAGTTACCATACCGGACTGCGTAAGTACGGTTTTCTAAATATGAACATATTATCAAAAAGTATGGGGCAGGTAAGAACATTTTTAATTTAAAGAGTAGACCCTTGTGCCATACCCTGTCGAACGCCTGGGCTACATCTAAAAACACTCCAGGGCAATATTGCTTTTTTTCAAATGAAGATGAAATTTGATCAGTTAGTCTGTGAATTTGGTGTACAGTGGAGTGACCCGTTCTGAAGCCAAATTGGGAATGTGGAATTATGTTGAAGGTTTGGAGTATTGGTCTTATTCTTAATCTTATGATTTTTTCAAATAATTTGGCAAGAGTAGGCAGTAAGCTTATAGGTCTATAAGACGTGATTTCATTCTTGGGTTTGTTGGGCTTAGGAATAACAATTATTGTTGATAATTTCCATATCGATGGAATGTAAGAAATCCGTAACATGGAATTAAATATGTAAGTTACAAGGATGATTGTCTTTTTCGGTAGATTATTTAGAATTTTGTTGGTAATAAGATCATAACCGGGTGCTTTTTTTTCTTTTAATTTACTTATTAGAAATTTGATTTCACTTGGTGAGGTATGTTTTGCTGGAAGTGACATTGGAAGAGGACTGTCTATAAATGAGTTGATTCTTTCAAGGTGTTCAGTGCTGGGATGTATATCAGTATGAGGCTTGAAAATGTTAGAGAAATGTTCGCCAAAAAGGTTTGCTTTTTCATCATCAGAAATAGCCATGGATCTGTTAGGGCCAGTTATTGGCGGCATTTGCTGTTTTATATTAAGTAAGTTTTTTGTGGTTTTCCATAGTGAGCCGTCATTTGTGTTTAGGGATTGATATTTTTTTTCAAAAAACTCTGATTTATGTTTTGATATTAATTTTTTGATGGTGTTTGTCAAGTGATTAAATATTTGTTTATCAGATGGGTATCGATACTTTTGCCATCTAGAACGAGCACGACGTTTATCAGAAATTAAAGTTCTTATATGGATGGGTAAGGTTTGATTATTTGTTTGATTTATACTCCTTGGAGTATATGGATGTGATGATTTATATATAGCTGATTGTATCGAGGTTGTGAGGACTTGGGGACTCAAAATTAAAAAAAAAAAAAAAAAAAAAAAAAAATTTTGTAAATTTAAATTGTTTCGAGATAATATTTAAAAATTAAACAAATCTGTATACCTCATACCGTAAAAAAAAAACTATTCTTGTTGTAAGTGGTCTACCGCACACTTGTAATCTACCATGCACGTTTCTATATGACGTCATAAATCATATAAT